CATTTACCTTAGTCTCTTCCACATATTTAAAAGGACACATAATTGATTCAAAGGGACATATTAATAATTCATTTTCTTTGGATGGTTAAATAGTTTGATAGAAATTTTATCGTTATACGCTCTCATTTCCTCGTGTTCCTTTTAACATCCTTTTTAGTTAATGCAGACAGGTTTAGAAACTTACGGCTGTTTGGTTGGTTTTTGGGAATACCTACTTTATATTATCAAAAAAGTTAAATAGTAAAATACCAAAAACTCACAATATTATTTCAATTTTTTTAAACCCCCTAAATTTGTTATTTAATAAATACTCCTAAATATTTTTTTAAATTACAAAACACCCTAACAATCCACAGTTTCCAGATTCTAGCCACCACTGTCGAAAAATGGTCGGAATCTGAGGCTGGCGCACTACGGCTGAATCTGCTGGTAGTGGTCGATCTAGCCTTTTCCGGCAGATAAGGCCAAGATCTGGCCGTGACGCCAGATCTTTGGCATCATAACCAGTCGGTAACTCACACGACGACCGTTTGTTGGCCATCGTTGACGAGTAATACGGCCAGATCCACCATAGTACTGGCCTGAAAAGCCATTCGGTGCACGACCGGCAAAATCCAACGGTCATGCGTCGATACGGTGACTCTGGCCACCCTCCGGCAGTGGTGGCCGCTGTCCGTATTTGAGGGTGGGTTGGGTATGTTTTTGTTAACTTTAATGTTTTTTAGAGGGGGTGTTTTTGTAAAAAAACAACCATAAGGGATATTTTATTATTTGAAATCTTACATCGTAATACCCCCCAATTCAACTTTTTTTTTTACTTTTTTCAAAAACAAAATTTCCCAAACATAAATTGGAACCAAACCGAGCCATCAATTTTAGGAAAAATTAATACAGATGACTAATATCTTTTATTGAATCACTCAAAAGTCAGAGCATTCTCCCTCATTAATCTGGAATACTTTCATTTTTCTTCATTCTTAATTCTTTTTCCACCAAAATTTCAACTCGAAAATTACAAATATTTGTGATTCCACCAAAAGTTGTTCTTAAAAGAAGTAATAATTCTTGAATGTTAAGTTTTTTCTAGAAACTGAATTTAGTGTATTGTGACTATGTCATTACAAATTTGGAAAGGAAAAGAATATTAAACACCACCGTGACTCATTGAACTTAGGAAAAAAATACATTGTGACTATTAGATCATGTGGACAACTATTGAGTATAGAAAGGTAAAATTGGTAAAAAAAAAGTATTCATGTCTCCTCGATTTTACAAAGTGACAAATTATTTGAAACACATTATTTGCTAAAAAGGACAATTAAAATGAAATGGATAGAGATTACCAAAGGTCTTGAGTTCGAGTCCTTCCTCAATGCTAATAAGGGTAGCACTGGAACTCTTACTTTACTAGTAGTCCAAGGTCCGGAGACAGTAGTTGAGATGCTTCAAACCCTTCCTCGATTGTTAATAGGGATGCACTAGAACTCTTACCTGTCAATAGTTTCAGTGTCAGAAGGATTATTAGATGTTGTAGTCATTTCTCAGTTGTTAATTGGGATAGCCACTGAAACCTTACCTAGTTAGTAGTTCAAAGGTCTCAGAAAATTATTAAGCTGTGCGTAACAACCATTGACACCCGATCATAAAAATAATAAGAAGAAAGAAAGAAAGAAAGTATAGAAATCCAAGTTTTGATTGTTTTTATGAATAAATACGTTGAGTTTGATGTCACTTGATATTGTCAGCTTCTCAATACCTAATTTTATTTATTGTAAATGTATCAATTTCAACTCTACAACAAAAATTAATTAAAATTTGTAATATTTTTCCATTTATTTGATGAAAGAAGTATATATTAATCATTCTCTAGTGTAACACAAAAATATTACTGATTATCTTGTAATATTTTAGGAATATTAAAAAAACAAAATAACCACCACTAAGTGGTCTGATGGTAAAAGAACAAGGAAGATCAAGCATGGTCTCTCAAGTTCTATTCTTCTAATAGTAAAAGAGCAAAAGAGGATCTAAAATGTCTCTCGAGTTTGAGTCTCTATCACTCCTAATAGGGGTGGTCATTGGAACTCTTACCCTGCCGGTAGCTTTGGGTGATAGTTCCATGTCCCGAAAAATTAGTTGTGTACACACGCGATCCGAACACGGTCAAAAAAAAAAAAAATTAACAAGTTAAAATTTAACCACTCTTGGTCCACATTCTTTCACTATAACATCTACATGTCAAATTGATATTCAAAGTATCATCCCTATAAAACAAAAATATTATATGGGAAGAAGCATATATTAATCTTTTAATTCTGTATAAATTAACATTCATATACAATTTTCTTTTTCCAACAATTCCACTCCCTTCACCAATATGCAACCTCCAGGCATAGTGCACATGATTTCTTGCAAGAGTTTAATATTAATGTCGGGCACCAATAGTCACCCACCCACCAGAAACCATGAGATCATCAATGGGCACAATCCAGAAAATCTGCTCAAAGCAAACATCCAAACATAAAATCATCAACTCAATGAGTTTATGAAAAAACAAATCATATAAGTTGTCAAAGTTTATAGCAATTACCATATATCATCTTTCTTTCTACATGACTTGAGAAACATCAGAAAGATTAACCCTAATCCCAAAGCCACTGCACCTCCCAAAACAATCGCTACTAATTTTCCTGTACTGCTGTTTCGTCCTTCGTGCTCTAACCACAACAATTTCGATATTAGAAAAAGTGAGTAAGTTCACTGACAGAGCTTCAATGAAAGAAGTGGATATGGGATGTTACACAATGTTTGTGTTTCCCTTTCCATGAATTCTTTTAGCTTACCTCTGTATGAATTGCCTGGCTCTTCATTTGGAATGAAACCATAGCTAATGAAGCATCTATCCAAATAAATTTGGCCTGAAATTGTGTTGCCACATTCTTGGCGAATAATCTGCACAGCATCACTTACACAAGCACCACACTGACGATGTCCCACTAAATCTTCTTCGCATTGCGCCATGACATGCACATGCTCATGGCTTCCTGAGTAAAACCCTCCACCACCTATTATACCATTCTCCATTTTTGCAAAGGCCTCGTCTCTCAAGTCTTCAAATCCGACATCTTCCGCCTTTTCGCCGCAAACCTTGTGAAGAACCTCGAATTTTGAAGTCTGATGAATGCTTAACTCATTAGTCTGATAGCGGAAGTAGCAGCCATGAAGCTGAATCCTTGCCGCTGCAGCTTTGTTGCACGAGGTGTTTGATATTTCCGGAAGGGAATTCACGCAGTTGTAGCAATCATCGTTGCTCAAATCCCTTCTGCACTGAAAGAGACCGGAGACGCCGGCGCCATTGTTATTATTCTCCAGATCACGACCTGCAGTGGCTCTAAAGAACTTGTAATGAGAAGAGTGAGGCACCAATTGCTGAAAAAGAGAAGAAAGTGTCTGTGAGTGAGCATCATCATCAGTTGAGTGTGTGATTGTTTGGGTTGAACAATTCTTGAAGACTAAAGTGTTAAAATCTGAACTGTTTTTGACAAAAGGCAAGAAGAGGTTAAACAGAAGAAGCTGAATAAGAGAGAATGGTTTCATGGTTGAATCCATTTGGAGGGTAGGGTGTTTTTTGTTGAAGTGAATAGCTGATTCAGTTCAACTTATTCTTACGGTTTCAGAGACCATGTACTTTAATTTCTAAGTGCAAGAATAAAACAAAGCTAATGGAAACAAAGTTCTTGGGAAGTTGGGTTTGTTGGGGTTTGTTTCTTGCCTAGTTCTAACCAACTTAGCGTAAATTTTCACCTATTGAATTCCCAAAAGAGTAAACGAAACTTTTTCCCACCCAAGGTTTGCCTTAATGACACTTTCTCATCCAAAAAGTTTCAAAATACTATTTTTTTCACTCAAAACTTATATTCTGTTACTATCCAAAATACACTTCACTTTTTCAGACGGTGTTCGACAAGTTATCGAAAGGCAAGGTAAGAAGAGTTTTATATAGTAGAGGCGGGTGGATTGAATGGTAGTGACCGATTGAATATTCGTGATCGAAATCAACTGAAAATCAACCAAGAACAGAAAACACTAGTTTTGCAGTGGCCAACAATCGATGAGAAATCAAGTGCCGGAGTAAAAGGGGTTTTATAGAAAGGAGACCGGAGATTCAAATGGTGCTAACAGAGAGAATTTTCGTAATCAGAAATTCAGAATCAGTTGAAATTGGCTTTGAATAGTAATAGAATATTAACTTTGGGTGGGAAAGTGTCATTAAGGCAAACCTTGGGTGGGAAAAAGTCGTTTACTCTTCTCCAAAAATAGAGTTAAATCACTCAACTATCTAATCAACATATTTCGCTTCTAAAGTCATATAATCTCATTTATTACAAGTTAGTTGATCCGCTCAAAAAACTAAGATATATATAATTACTATAATTAAACATTTTTCTTTATTAAAATGCTATCTTGAGACCAATTTCTGACCTACATAATGAGTTGAATATATTTGTGAAAAGATTTAAGACCAACTGGATTTGGTTGTTAAACATGTGTGCCCAAGTTATTACTTGTTTCCAACTTCGGAAAAGAAAAGGTAGTTAAAAACTATTACCCGTTGAAATTTAATCCATTCCTAACCTCTAAAAATAAAAGACCAATCCCAAAAATACACAAATATTTGAACTGGGAAAGTAACCATGTAACCATTTCTTGGTCCAAAACTCTTCTCATATAACCGATCTCCCTTGCATTTCGCCAACTACATCCCCATCAAATTCACCTCTAATATTTCCCATTTCTTCACTCCTCAATTTACTCTTAACTCACAGGCAAAAACCTTAGCCCCCTCACAAACAGCGTACCAGGCCGTGAGTAGGAACCCTCGCACAAGCAGTTCCAACTCCGCCGGCGCTATATTTTAGTCACATTATCCGCATTCATCATCAACACCACCGCTACTACGTCTAACACCACTACTACCACTGCAATTATATTAAAAAACAATGGTGGCTCCTTCCCGCGTTCTTGAAATCAGTGTAATTTCCGCCCATGACTTGGCCTTCGTTTCTAAAAGCATGAAAACTTACGTAACTGCATGGATCCATTCTGACCGGAAGGTCACCACGAGGGTTGATCAAAGTGGACTTAATAACCCGAATTGGAATGAAAAATTTGTGTTTCGGGTAGATGACAGGTTCCTTGCCGATGAAACTTCGGCTATTATGATCGAAATTTACGCGGCAGCCTGGTTGAAAGATGCCCTCATTGGCTCCGTTCGTGTCCTCATCAGCCACCTGTTTGGTTCTCTTTCGAACAACGCGTCAGCCACGAGGTTTGTCGCGTTGCAGGTTCGCCGTCCGTCGGGGCGGCCTCAGGGGATCCTCAACATGGGCATCACGCTTTTGGATAACACAATGCGGAGCTTGCCGCTTTTGACCGAGCTGTGCGCGATGGGTGGAACTTTTAGCGATATTTCATCGATAAGAAATTCGATCGATGCGAAAACGAAGAAGTTAACTAAGGATGATCTAGAACTTGGGAAATTGAATCTCAATAATAAAGCCAGAAAGAACGTGAAACTACGTCGTTCTTTAAGTGACATGACGGATTTAACCAGCGAGGATTACGCGAAACACGGTGTCGTTAATGTTGGCTCAATGTGCAATGGTTCGGTGGTGAAAGGAAACAATAACAATGGCAGCATGGTAAACGAGTCGTTATGTTCCTCGGACGTGGGGCCTTCGGCGTCGGTGGTGGCGGCAGCGATAGCGAAAGGGTTGTATAAGACACCGGCTCAGGCGAAGACGGCGCCGGCGCCAGCAAATGAAGGAGGGAATATTGGGTTGCTGACTGATGGTTGGACGGGGAAGGTGCAGAATGAAGAAAACCTGAAATTTAGGCTTGATGGATGGCGTAATGAGGTTCAACCAATTTATGATCATTCTAAAATGAGAGCTAATAGTAAACGCGGTGGGCGTGCGCGGCGGAGGAGGGACGGCGGAGGGTTGTTTTCGTGTTTTGGTAATGCATTTGGGTGTGAAATCTCGATTACCTGTGGTGGAGGAGGGGGAAACACCAAAAAGAGGTATCAAAATGGGAAGGTATGTCACCTTAGCGCGGTTGATGATAGTATTAGTATTCTTCAATCATACGTTGCGAGGTTTTAGAGAGGGAGTCAGGAATTAATTAAAATTTAATTAATTTAGATGAAGAATTGATTTTATATAAGATATTCTTTAAATGTTATTTAAATTAAATTAAATTATGTTGAAGAACATGATGATGATATAGTATTAAGTTATGTCGTGTCTGTCTTTTGGTGTAAGGAATTGAGGTTGGTAGCTAGATTAATTTAGTTGCACGAACTTCAATGTACCCTTTTAGACATACAATCCATTGAGACTGCTTGTATGTATAGCCAAGATTTAATTTAATAATATTTGTTTGTTCTTTGTTCATCAGAAATATGATCTCTGGAATTCCTGTTTCTGTTTTCTTCTTGCCAAAATTATTTAGTCATATATAACACTTATATGGGGAAGCGGTTCCGGGTACTCGCCGAAATTGCTAGGCATTAGAACCAAAATTGGAACTGGTCGGTTCCTGGCAAAAGGAATCGGAATCAAAACCAATTGGTTTCGATTATTCGATTCTTGGAATCGAAACCTGAAATGCAGGTTCAGGTTTCTTTTTGGGTACCCTATAAAATTTAATTACCCCCTATTAAGTTAATAAATTACAAATACACCCAATAGTTCACAAAATTCACCCATACACCCTCAATTCCTAAACCAGCTCTCAGCAAGGTACTCGAATGTAGGTTTCGATTCCGGTTCCCGATTCCAACACTGCAAGAACCAGAATCGAACCCGAGAATTCCTGATTCCAATTTTCCAGAATCAGAACATACCCTATGAGGGAACCAACCGAAATCAGAACTGGCGGTCTAGGTACCCCCTAGTTCCAGGTCTACACTTTACCCATGAATTAACCCATTCCTTCATCAAGTTGAATATGGAAAAAGTGACTACAATGACTCCATATTAAGATTATTAAATCAAAAAATAGGTCAATGGTTTTTATATAGAAATAATAATATAATCTAAACGTTGATATCAATTAATTGAATTCAAATGCTATGACGGGTTAGATGAATATGTATAGTATAGGTAGAAAATATTTAATTTTATTATGCCTGAAAAGTTAGGGCTGACGTGGACTCTCGTCAACAAGAGCCAAACAGGGTTCAGGAAGGTTTTGTGCCATCCAGGCGCTGCCACGTCGCGTAGTGACGCAAGGGGTATGGTTCTTGTCAGTGCAGTAGGTAAGTGCCAAGCTTGTGAGTGGTTAGGAATTAGCCACCTGCCCAAGCCTTACGCAATTTGAGAATATTTCTCATGCAGACCACCAATAGGACGAAAAGAAAGATTTGCACAACACCTACCCACTTGCAGACTTGTAATCATTACCTTGAACTCTCCCACTATAAATAGAAGACATCCCTCTCATTTGTGAGATTGGCTAATCTTAGTCTAAAATAGCTTACACACACACTCTCTCTCTCTCTTTGAATTCTCTCTAGATTATAACTCAGTTCGCTGCACACGACTTGATTTTACCCATCTATTAATACAATAACAATGGACGTATGATTCTCTTTTGAGCATCTGAACCACTTTAAATATCGCTTCTTATTCATTGTATCATTTCATGTCCTCATCATGTGTGATTTTTAAGTCCGCTTAGCACTTTGCACGTGCGAGTCGTTGGTGTCAAAATCAAGCATCAACAATTTGGTGCTAGAAGGAGGGCGTGATTTAGTATCTACTCTTCATTTGAAATCTCTGACTAATTGGCCCTACCAATCAGCAAATGGCTCGTGGTTTCGAACCTGAGCGAACCAACTATGACAATGAGGAAATCCCTCAGGTATAAGAAGACACTTCTCCCGAAGTGCCGCCAGTCCAGTAGAGTATCATGGCGGATATTTCTTTAAGCTCGCGGTTCGACCCAACCGTCATAAGTTACCTAGAGAGGTTCAATAATACTCTTCATATGGTTAGCCAAAGGTTAGACCGCTTGGATCGAGTCGTGCCACCAGAATCTAATGAGGCGGTGCCATTGCCAAAAACGTATGCAGGTCGCGTGAAAGCATGAAAAAGGGTGAAAGCCCATACAGCGTGCACTGCAGCGCGTCAAAGAAGGGGAAAGCAAGTGGCGAACAGCAAACCGAAGGGTTCCGAGAGACCAGCAAACATCGGCCGTGCCATGGGTAGAATACCCGTGGTACTACGACTCGGCGACATGTCACAGCAAGAGTCGTCCCATGCCACGTCGCATGGGCATTCCCACAAAAGTGCAAGGCGAGGAGATTTCCAATATCGCCGAAATGACAACCTCGACCATCGTCAGGCAGGAAATTCTCGTCGTCTGTGGGTCAGTTCAGATCACCGCGGAGATTGAGAAAATTCCCCGAATCACTCAATGCCATCACATGGCTCCAGCCAGCGTGTGTCAAGGTTTGCCGAAGCTTCCGACCGAGTCGAGAAAGAGCCCGATTTGTGGTCTTTTCTCAACTGCAACCGTAAGGGTCGAACCCACATTGCGGAAAGCGATCCCCAAGCAGCTCCGCTACCTCAGATTGAGGAATTACATCGAGCATTGGATCAGCTTAAGGCTCAATAGAATGAGTGTGGGAAGGTCGTAAAGGCGTCTCCCTTTTCTCTAACAGTGTTAGCTACTCCTCTCCCATTGAGATTCAGAATGCCCAACATGTAAGCATTCGATAGGAATTCAGACCCGCAGAATCACCTATACGAGGTCAACGACCTCATGGAACTCCACCAAGTCTCTGACTTGTCAAAATATCGTTGCTTGGCAGTAACTCTAACTACCTATGTCAAGCGCTGGTTCAAGTCACTTCCTGCGACATCAGTCAGCTTGTGGCCCCAAATGAGCTCGTCATTCCTAAGACACTTCTAGGCGAACAGGAAGTTCTCAATGTCGTTGAGCTATCTGAGCAACATATGGCAGGAGAGGGATGAATCCCTCCAATCTTACATAGATAGATTCCACAGGGAACTCCACAAAGTGGCTCATACTTTTGAAGAGTTCGTTCGGACTCTCATTATTGCGGGAGTTCGCCTGCAGACAGATTTGTGGAAAGAACTACAATCTAAGGACGATGTTTCCCTTACTCGCTTCTACAACCTCACCAAAAAATACCTCCGAATTGAAAATTCTATGGCTACTCTCAATCGCCACGACCTTGGTCCCTCAGGCAGTGCTCCCAACCGGAGGGAGAATAGGAGGACTGATCGCAGATGAGCTAATGATGATCAGCGAAAAGGAAAAAAGTAGCGGTTTGAGCCCAAGAAATCTTATGCCCCGGTTCTTCGTCGCGAACACGACAAGAATCAGTGTACCTCTCTAAACGCCTCAATATCAGCCATTTTGGATAAGTCAGAGGAGACCAGCTTGCTCAGAGAGCCAGATCCCATGAAAAATCCCCCCTCAGCCAAAAACAATAAAAAGTACTGCCACTATCATAGGGATAATGGGCATCACATAGATGAGTGTCGAGCTCTCAAGCAAACAATCGAAGACCTCATCAAGTAGAGACACTTCAAAGAATATGTTAATGGCCCAACTCCCGTTTGGGAGAAGGATAAAGAGGAACCAGGGAAGAAGCACCGTGGCTGCAAAGGACTTTATTGCGTGGGAATCATCTTCGGAGGACCATACCTCGCAGGGAATTCTCGAGGTGCCTAGGAGAGGTAAACTCGGGAAGCCCGTCATGACCTCATGAGTGTAATGAGCACGGCGTCGCGACCCGCTAAGGTTCGCAGAGAGAAAGAGATCACTTTCTCTGAGAAAGACGTTGTGTGATTGCATCATCCCCATAAGGATGCTATAATCATCGCGCCTGAAATAGGCTAGTGTGAAATCCACAAGATGTTGGTGGACAATAGGAGCGCCGTGAATATCCTGTTTCAACGAGCTTTCGAGAAAATATAATTGGACGAGGTAGACCTGAAGCCTACCTCCATCCCTCTTTATGGTTTTACCGGGATCATCTGATTATTAGGAGAACGATCTCGCTCCCGGTCACGTTGGGAGAAACCGACGAAATGACCAAAATAACAGAATTTTTAGTAGTAGACTGTTTGTCCTCTTTCAATGGAATTTTGGGACGACCTCTATTGAGGAATTTCAAGGCAGTCACCTCCATCTACCATCTGAAAATGAAGTTCCCCACCCCAACAGGGATGGGGAAAGTAAGCGGATCTCAACGCGAATCTCACGACTACTACATAAGAGTAGTGTAGATGGCATGCAAGGGAAGAGGAACACCAGTTGGCATCCTCGAACAGGCAATGACGATCAGTAGGATCGAGCTACAGCCCGATCCGATAGAGGATAACATGGATCCTCGTATCCAGGAATGCCCTCATAGTGGGCCGGTCGAGGATTTATCGGAGGTTTCGATCAACCAAAATGAGCCGACCCGAGTGTTGAGAATCGGGAGTAATCTCAACCCCCAGCTTGCCAAAGACCTGACAAGTTTCCTCAGAGAAAATGTCGACGTGTTCACATGGACTCATGCTGACATGATCGGGGTCAGCCCGAATGTCATATGTCATACAGTGAATATTGACAGTGTGGTCAAGTCAATTTGTGAGAAGAGAAGAGCAATAGACCCTAAACGATATGCTGCCTTGAAAATTGAGGTAGATAAGCTCCTTTTGAACTGGTCCATCCGAGAGGCGCTCTACCCGAACTGGGTTACAAATCCGGTCTTGGTAAAGAAGCCTAGCGGTAAGTGGCGAACATGTGTTGATTTCACCGACCTTAACAAAGTCTATCCGAAGGACAGCTTCCCCTTACCAAGAATCAACCAGCTCGTCGATGCCACCTCCGGGCATGAACTGCTGAGTTTTATGGATGCCTACTCGGGATATAATTAGATTCTGATGTACGCGTCGGACGAAGAGCATACCTCATTTGTTACAGATTGAGGGATGTATTATTACATGGTTATGCCCTTCGGCTTAAAAAATGCTGGGGCGATTTACTAGTGGTTGGTTAACCAAATATTTTTCGAGCAGATCAGAAAATCGATGGAATTCTATGTTGATGACATGCTTGTCAAATCGCATGTCACTTC